ACCCCCGCCGTTCCCCCGCGGCTTCGGGGTCGGGCTGACCCGCCAGGCGGGGCTCTCCGAGGGCCCGCACGCCCCGTGCCCGGGTTCGGTGGGAAATTCGGGAGACGCCGCCAGGGCGGAGAGCATCGCTCGCTGCCGTAGCGGGGACCTGGAAGCGGGGCTGAAGGTTGCCAGTTGCTTAAGTCACTGTAACCGAGTTTTGCGTAACTGTACGCCCGGGCGCCTTCCGCAGAAACATCAGCGAAAGCAAAGGGACACAGCTGCTGGACCACTCGCCTGCAGGTTACTCTGCTATTATAACAAAAATAATATGGGTGTCAGTGGCAGAACTTTCTCTTCAGAGCTCTTTGAATCCCCTTCCATCTTTGAAATGTTTTACTCCCATCCTGTGTCATGTTTAAGCTGCTCTACTCTCAAACCAGCCAGAAATGTTAACTGTTCAAATTCCAGCTATACGATTTCCTGCCCGACTGGTGACTTGGCTATTGGTGACCAGAAAAAGGGCCTAAATTTCACACGTGCAGTTTTTCACTCTCTCGATCATTTAAGCAGGGCGTTTTCCTGCAGCTAACGTTAAGCTTCGAAAACCTGAAAAGGTCTTTGCCTCTGTCTCACAAACAACAACACACTCGCCAACTGCAACTGCTCCAAGAATTTATTCAGGTTCCTATGGCACTGTTATTCTGCTATCCTGTGTGCCTCCCCCCCTCCTTAGTTGCATTTCCACCAGCAAAAACCCGAGGGGTACGTGCGCCTTACGGAACTTTAAACACCTTCCCGAAGCTGGCCTGCGTTCCCACGTCTCTCTTACCCTAACCCCTCTTGCTGGTTTTAGCTCAGCTTTGCCTGGGAAGAAGGTGCCATGGTTTGGTTTGTGCTGATGATCCTCTGCCTGGAGTGAATTTAGCTCTGCCCGCACCTTTGTCTGCCTTTCTTCCCTCTTTTCCCTGCACCCCCCTTGCTTCCACCTTTCCGTAACCTCCGGCCCCTGTTATTCGGGAGGTCAGCTTATCACATCGGTCCCTGCTGGCCTTAAAATCTATGAATCTTGTGTTGCATTGTCTGCCTCCCAGCCGCTTATCTTCCTTCTCACTCTCATGCTTTTGTTTTGTGCCTCACATTCTTCCTCGCTGGTATTAATCTTCCCACTGATTTTTCTACCTCCATCTCGGCAAATAAATAAATAAATAAACCGGTGGAAATATGAATCTGAATTCGTGGCTTTTGTTCACTGCATCATCTCTTTCCCCTCTTATTCCCCATCTGAATATTAACCGCAGGCAGAACGCCAGGGGCTTTGTATTCTTTGCATTTCATGTCCTTTTTACTTTAGCCTGCACCATACAAAATATGTGCATAGCCTAGGAGCGGAGAAGGGGTTTAAGAAATGAAAGAACCGAATCATGAAAGGAGCGGGAGGGGCTGGAGGGACTGGCCGCTGCCGCTCGCCACTGGCTCTGCTGCGGTCAGGAGCACCCCAAGCTGCCTGTCTTCAGCCTGTGATGACAGCTTGTGTTTTTATGCAAAAGTACTCTTGGAAAGCATAAATTTAAACAGAGAAAACAGAACACCCTATTCGTGGCAGTGTGATTTTTGCCACCTGTTAATGGATCTTTACATCAAGGAAAAGATTCCAGTAGGGAGAACTGGGAAAATTCACAGCTGTAAGAAGCTTTGGGAAGCAGAATCCCGTGTTTGTTAAGTCATATTAAAACACACGTTGTCAAGCTAACACCTTTCTCAAGATGCTTGTATGCAATACAAGTACTGAACCACCCCTGGCAGCTGACTTTTACATGCTGTGTCAGTAAGAGACTTCATGGTTTTCATGCACCACTTTACATTTTTGCCTCTTTGCTCAGGTTGAATCAATCAAATTTTTTGTCACGGTATCTTAGGACATATAATCATGATTCTATGATTCTATGACTGCCTTAGGTCATGTAATCACACTAATATAATGGACGAAAAGTATTACTGTCAAGTCCTCCCCTTTTTTATACATTAACTTTATTAGACACCTTGTAACAAAGAAAAAACGTCAAACAAACGTGTAAGTAACTGAGTAGCCATTTTAACACCCGGAAGTCTTTCACTTTTCAGTGAAAGCATAGTATTTGACTGAACATCTCCTCTAAACCAGTACGCCTTCAGGTTTGTTTTGCTGCAGCAGCTGTGAGACTGCTCCGTTTTCCCTCTGAGTGGAAAGTGACCTTTACTAAATACCTGTCACTCGGTAGCCTTTAACTTTTTTGACTTCCAGGCAGTTTGCATTTCTTTATCCTTACAGCCCATCAGGCTATGATTGCTCATTCATCCTAGGGCACAGGATTAGCGCTCTGCACAGCAGACCCCCCCTCTCCTCCCTAAACCACCTTCTGCTCAAGACACTAATCAAATCTCTGTGGAACAGCTCTTCACACTACCGAACGGCGAGCTGAGGTTGTTACGTATTGACAGGAGATATTTCTCATCCCATTCACTGGAGTTACGAGTAGCAGGTGTTATTATTTCATCTCTTCTTATAATCCAGAGAATGAGAGAGCAAGAACGGCATTTGAATGCAGATAACTCTCATGACAGTCAAATGTGTTATAAATACACTACTGAGGCGGATTCACACATTGTAAAATTAAAACAAATAGAAATCCTCCAGAGATGGGGGTGAGTATCTAAGATGTTGTTAGATTGAAAAATTCACATTCCACCAACAGGCTAACTGCATTTCTTGCCATATGCCTGCAAATTTTCTGCCCATCAGAAAGTCTTGGCTAGAACACGAATGGAATTTCCCTGAGCACTTCCAATGGCTCTTTTAACCTCCCCCAGCACCCGCACCCTTTTCAAGTGTTTGTATATATACCCATGCCATGTAAAAGCAAAGCTGCTGGTCATTTTCAAAGCTACCCGTCTTGACTTTTCCCCCCAAGCTAACAGCTTACGTTATCACACAAGCATGTGCTCAGGCAGTGCGGTTCCAGGTTTAGGCGTAGGAAGTGACTATCGGTGTCGATACCTGCCTGGTTCTGTGCAGCCCCCTCAAGCACGGGCAGCCACTGAAATCAGTGGAATTTCATACAAAGTTATCAACCTGGAATAAAACTCACAATGAACACCAGTGTGTAACAGTCCTCATCTACTTCCCCATTTCTTAATCTTACAGCACAAACTTGAATGTTGACTGTTATCCTCACCTGCTAGAAAGTAATGCCTGGTTCCTCATTTACCCAAACAATCTTTCAGTCCATTCCAAACACTGGGCAAATGACTTATCAAAATGACAGTTACAAAACACTTAGTTCTAAAAGCTCAAATGTTTAAGTAACAATGAAGAAAAATATATTAGCACTCTAAGTCTTTAGAATCCAAAACCTTCACATGCTTTGTAGAAACTCCAGTACTTTTCCATTACAGAGCACGGTAGAAACTCCTCTTTAGATACCATTACTATCTCACTGAACTGAAGAAAACGTGTCAGACTTTCAACTGAGTTGAACCGGACAGAAGAGCCTGTTGAAAATGAACACAAGTGATTACAAAGTGCATATTAGAGTTAACGGAAAGCAATCACTGGCACTATTACCTAGAGAGTTGTTAACAGCTCATCAGAGTGAGGTAAGGGTTAAGAGATCCCCAGGAATCTGTGAAGTGTCCTAGGAATCTTGTAGCGTTAAGACTCTGGCCACCTTATCGGTATCGATCCTTATTGACCCAGATTTCAGTGAGACAGAGGCAATACCACACTTGGTGGTGCTCAGGGTGAGAAGTCAACAGTCATGTCCATTTCCAAATACCTAACAGGAAAACGCGGTTTTCTTTGGCATTGCTTGCATTTCGCATATTACGTCCACGAAGGGGTATGTCCACGAAGGGGTAAGTTTAGTGCACCTCTCCAAAATTAAGGAATCCCTCTCACAGGGAATGCCCTCCCTGCAGCCCCGAAAGGACTATACAAAAAGGAAGGCGCACACCTGTATACAAGAAATTGCAGGACTGAACAATGGGTATTTGCAATATTTAAGTATCTGCTGGACTGAAGCAACTATTGCAATGCATGAAGTTAAGGCATGTGTGTCAGCAGAGGAGAAGCTGAACGTTTAGTTTTCACTGTTAAAATCAGTAACAAAGGCTGTAAGGATCCAGCAGTAAGAAATGCTACAAGACATTTTCTCCGTAACAGCACAGACTCCAAAAGGCCCTCAGAACTGCAGTTTTCAGAGTTCCTTGCTTTTGTTCTTCTTCCGTCCACACCTCCTCCCTTCGGAACCCTTGCAAAAAATATCAGAGTGGCTGAGCTGCCACAACCAGCCCAACACAGAAACTGCCAGTGAGGGCAGAACTGTCACGTGTTGCACTTGTTATCGAGAGAGTTGTGAAAGCAGGGATGTGGCCTCTGGGGATGTGGCCTCTGTTCAAAAAAAAAAAAAAAAGCAAACCAAAACCAAACCAAAAGCAAACAAAAACCAGTGTTTGGACACCATTCCAGCATCTCAGGAAGCAAAACAGGACAGGTATTTCAGGATGCTTAGATCAGTCAAGATAAATCCTTGCCAAAATGCAGAGAAAGCATGTTTGAAGTGACACCTGCTTTGCCCATTTAATTTAGCTTGCACTTATTTCTGGCCTACCATGGGCCATCCCAAGAGTTTTGTCTTTCTCTGTTACTGCAGTCTTCCAGTTGTGTCACCCACACCGCTTCCAAAATGCAAAATATATTCAGTGAACTGACATCATTGGTAGCTCCCAATGCTAAAACCATCAGTGTATCCTGTAGGTATCAATCCTTTCAACTCCATGTCTCGGTGAGGATTTCCAGGAGCTCACCACCCAAAGCATCAAAATGGCAAATTGCTATTAGAGGAGAGAGGTCTGTGTTTAGAAACGCAAATACAGAAGTCTCGTGCATGAGGACATATGTTGCTCTGCTCCCATGACACCCACAGCAAAACTTCTGACTCCAGTGAGGACAGGATTGCATTTGGTATCTGACACCCTCGGCGCATCTTCAGTACGCCTGTGCCATGGCATGGTACATAACGGAACAAAAAGCATCATCTAGGGTCTAGGGCATATTTCAGTATCTTGGACTATAACAAGGATGGGCGGGCTGAATAAAAGTCCCTCTTGAGAAGTTACATCACAACACTCCCCACAGAGCCTTTGTCGCTTATGAAGCGGCCGTCAGCCACACCAGAAGACAATTTACATGCTCACCTAGAAGCAATGTTTTGAAGGGCACACAGGAACGCTTGGATGGGAAGTCACAAAACAGTTTTAAGCACACCTTCATGTAAAAATGATGCTACAAATAAGTCTGGGAATTTTTTAATAAAATAAACTGGCAGAAACTGAGCTGAAACATCACCATTAATACTGTGCCTATAGTGACATGACAGGCATGACTTTAACCAGTTTTGATTTGTTGAAAAAAGCTTTTTCATCCTGAAATGTCCACATTTTGTATGTAAGTGCAGGAGAATTTCTTGGCAAAGCCCAAAGCTCATTTAACATCCTGTTTTGAGAGATGACAATTGGAGAAAAGACATTCTTTTCTTACTTTGGAGGTGCTCCTCTCAGCACTCTCACTGCAATGTTCTAACTTATTTACTAAAAATTCTCAACTCAGACTTGAAAGTGTAATAAAGATATAGCCAAATAAATCTATTGAAATAACTTTTTTTCAGCAGCTGACAGCTTGCTTTGTTGATTCCTGGGTGTCAAATTAATGTGTTACCTATTGGATTAAGATTTGGTAGATTAAATATCAGCATTCTACCATAAATACAAATTTAGCTGAGTGAATAATTCACATCTCTACTCTCTCTAATCTCTACTTGTTAGTAATTTTAGATAACAGTCAACAGTTAGCAAAAGCACAGTAATTTATACATCCCAAAGTTGTCCTCCTCGGTTCTGACATCAGTGTTTGATATCAAAGTTTCTATACCCATAGGCAATGATTTTTTTCCCCAGTAGGGATGGATCAGTACTTGAGCATTTTGTCCTAACTAATGTCCTCCTCATTTCCATTTTTCTTTCTCAATTCTTTTTCCCTTTTCTCTCTCCCTTTGCTTACTATTAATCTTTTAATACCCACTTTGATGTTTCCTTTCTCCCTTTTGCTGTCTGTTAACTCTCATCCCCTTACAAAAGACCAGCAGCTTACAGGCTGTAAGCAGCTGAGAAAGGCTCCCATACTGCTATCCAAAACTCAGTGCCACAGGTACATAAGGTAAGTAAGCAAGGTCAGTAAGGTAAGACGCACACAGGCAGGGTCTTTCTCTGCTTTCCTGCCCTTGCTGTCCTTTTAGGTGCTCTCAGTTTGCTGCTGTCTTCATAAACTACAAGATAAAAGTATCAATCAGTAACGCTATCAGAATGAACTTTTTCACTGTAAATCTGGGGAAAACAGATGTTGCCTCTTTGGTTCTTTTTCCATCCTGCTTGCCAATAGCTTTTCTGTCTTTGTTGGCATTTATTTTAGCCTTATAGTTTCGAAACCTTCCCAAATGTGTTTCAACTTGTGTTTCCATTTTGTTACAGCTTTACAAGACCTTGTCTGTGTCTGTGGCAGCTAAGAACCTGGGAACTGTATTTAAGGAGAATTCCCACCAGTGCCGCAACTATATAAAAGTCAGACCAGAATCTCCAGTTAGTCACCGAAGATTGCCATTTCTGTGCAGAGTCACCATTCTCTGATCATTAAAACAGCCCCTGAAAGATCAGTTTTTAAAAATGACTCTGTCACCAGTACCCTCCTTATTTTTTCCAAGCAAGAAAGTGCTGGAACTATCCAGAAATATGGTTAAGCATTTTACAACTCTTTTACTTGTGTAAATAATTTGTAAAAGGAATTTAAATACTCTTGCAGTTTAAGCAACATATTTGAGTCAATTTATAGGTATCAGTAAACCTGGTTTCAGTACTTCTGTAGAACAGGCAAAGATTACTATCACATCTGAGGGCAAGCTAACTGATCTGCAGTATCTGTGGCGAAGTCACAGGAAATGTTATTCTTCTGACTCAAACAGATCTGGTTCAGTGCAGCTAGTCTAGACGTGGGCTACAGATGCGTAAGCAAAGAGAAGATCTAAGAACAACACATTTAAAGGTGACAGCATTTGATCTAAAGTGCCACAAGGGAGTATTTAGAACAAAAATCTGTCTTAAGAGCTTCCCGGGCCTTATCCATACTCCTCTCAAGAACTCAGAAACAGAGAAGAACGGTCACAAACCAGGAGTCCCAAAAGGCATTGTCCATTCAGACCGACTAAGGTCTCAGAAATGATAGCCAGCATCTTGCATAAGCAACATTTTTGGATCCTCTCACTCTTTAGAAGTCTGTGACTGAATTGAGGCACATGTATTCTAACCATGCTAGTGGTAATTTTGAAAATAACTTTCGTTTCAGCCGATCAAGACCTGGTACCTTGGAAAAAGGGATGTCTGTGGATAGATTGTCATTGTAAGACTAGATCTGTCTGTAACAAAGTATGATGCCTCCCTGGTAATTTTTTTTTCTTTTTCCCCCCTCAAAATGCCTTTGCAGGCCAGGTCTTTCCAGAGTTCTTGATTCACTTCACGTGACACAGATCTTAATTCTTTTTTCCTCCTGTGAATGCTGGAGTCCAAGGTCTCTGCCTTTACAAACTGGTCGGTAAGGAGTCATCTTTTTCTAACAATCAGACATACCATGCCAATTAGGCACCTGAAGCTGAGGTGTACATCCCCTAAAAGATACAGGCCAACAGGGATATTGGCTGATTGCTTTGTGATCCTCTGTGTCTTTGCTCATCCTGATTTTGAAAGCACTTTTCCCCCCAAGAATTCATTTATCAAGTGATCCTAGATTACGCAAGCTGCATTTTTTTGCATTGGTAGTTATGACCCTCTGAGAAAAATTCAAGGTTATTCGTAACATCTCAGGAAATAAATAAATCATTTCAGTTTGGAAGCTATCTAATGGACTATAATGACCAGATACTTCATAGCACAGCTGTAACAGTGCCAGAAGGACTTAGAGCACGTTCTCATGGTCCCTTAGCCTACAGTTCTTTCCTTAACGTATCAGACATAACTCATCATCTGTAGGTTCAGTTCATCATTTGCCTACAACTAGAATTTGTATAGTAATAATGTGGAACTTAATTCATACTTTCACCAATAATTATTCTGCTTCTAGATAAAATGCTAGAATTCAGAAAGTAACATTTCTTCCTCCACTTAGTGAAGAACTGTATTCCTCAGAAGTTCATTCTTTCTTTTGGTCCTCCATGGAGACTGGCAAAAGCAATGTCATAAAGCAGAAAAAAAAGATTAGGTATCTAGAATCATTCTTCTTTGAAAGTATTTCATAACAGTGGCCTTTCTTGTTACACTCTGTATCTGCATCAAAAAAGGACTTGCAGGCACGATTAAAGATCAAGAATTCATGCCTTTTATTCTAAAGCATCTGTTTCAAGGTTTATGCTGAAATCTCTTTAATTATTTTATGTTTCATGTGGCAGGAA